GAATCACTTATATTGTATAGCTTTAAAAATGCTGTTTTACAAAGAGCATAGGTTGAATTAAAACAATATCTATAGTTTATCCTTTGTTGGATCTTTTCAGAAGATTTTTTATAATTTTTATTCTCTATTTCCATTGCTAAAAGTTGTGCTTTTAAAAACAAATCTAATTCTTTGCTGTTTAGATTAATAATTTGAAAATGTCTTTCAAAAAACTTTTTAAATCCAATTCTTTCATGAGATAAGCAATCGAATTTGGTTAATCGCACAAATAAACATGTATGCATAATTTATATTGTCGCACTACATCCAGAATTTATGGGTCGTACACAAATATGTTTTAAAAAATTACAATTCGAATGATTCATTTTATTTAATGATTTAATATTAATCAAGCGAAATAAAATTAAGATACATTGATAATAATGATAATATTGCTTTCTTACGGTAGAGTTGCAAGGGAGAGAACGTACGGCCCCTAGACCATGAATGTACGTCCCTATACTTTGGCTCTACCAGGTAAAAACTATTTATTACTATTGTTATAATCTATTATTTCGTTAGAATTGTAGTCGTAACCATCACTACTCATGATTTTATTTTTTTCTTTAGTTTTTAACGCAATCCAAGCCTTTATCGCGTCTATGGTTCTGGCATCGGGTTTCGTTGTTTCATTATAAAAACTTTCAATAGCCTTGAATCCGATAACTTTTATTTTTGTTTGTTTTTTTAGATCTCTTATAACTTCGTTAATCATATCTGATTTAGTATGATTGTTTTCTTCCATAGTTTCATTGAAAAGGTTCTTAAAATTTTGCACAATTTCAGAATTTGAAGACGATGATCGATTCGAATCTGGAACGGATAAATACAAAATGGTTAGCCTGGATCATTGATATGAAAGGCTTAAAAAAATAAAACGCTCACTTTGAGAACTATTTGTCAATTCACTTGAAGCATCTCCCGAAATTTGTTTTTGTTGCATCTCTTCGTATAGCAATTGAATTTTTTCAGTAAGGTCATCAAATTTTCGATTAACGTCTTCGGATAGAAGTTTCTGCGCATCTTTTAGTGAAGTAAGAGTGATATCGGTTTCCCGTTTTAAATTATACAGAGCAAAGCATGCAATTACAATGATTAGGTAAACTGGGAATTTTCCTTTGATAATCCACAATACGATGACAATCAAGATTGGTATAAAAATGAAATAATTTTCTGATGGCGTTTGTTTGAAATATTCTAAGATATTTGTATCCATCTGTTAGGGATTAATGTGAGCGTATAAAGTCATTAAAAAGGATATTCAATAAAAAAAAAACAATCGATATATCAATATAAGTCAGAGACCACTTACTTTGGTATAATAAACCTTTGATTTAACAAATATATGACTGGTTTTTTAAAAGAAAATTTTGATATAGTTTTGATTAATTTACGACGCTTTATTAATTTATTTATTTTTTGAATGTTAACAGATTTTTATTGCTTTGCAGTAACTTTGTGGGTATATTTATTCGAATGTTATAGTTATGAAGTAGAAAAATTATACGAATTCAAGTTCAAGCTGTTTTTATACATATTTCAGAATCTCTCTGGCGTTGATTGTCGATTTGCTATGGGTACACACTATTAAAGTTATCAACAATCATTGGTTTTTTCGAATTACACGGTCAGCTCATTAAAAATTTATCTACTATGGACGATCTGTTATCTTTGCCGATCATAATTATTTCTGATATAGTGCAGGACACCTAGTCCCGCAACTTTTTATTGGTCTTGTATATCCTTTAGTATACCAGAAATGGAAATGTAA